TCGTCATTTTTATTAGCCTTAACAATTAAGTAACATGAAGTAACCCAAAATGTTAAACAGTAAGAGTAGTAGTCATATTTCGTGAACCCTCTGAAGAGTACCCACCTGTTCAAATCTGCCTACTCACTGTAGTGCTCCCCATTATATGTTTCATTTGTGTCCACTTGACTGTCTCCTCCATGATTTCCTGTTTGTGTTTTTATCATGTTCTGTTGCCTATTAGCGTTTTCTTTTTAACAAATTGTACGGTGTCCTTGGGTGTCATGAAAGGCGCCTAAAATAAAATGTATTATTATTATTATTATCTATATATAGCAAATAACATTTTTATAGGAAACATACAGTATTGATTTTCAGTGTGTTCTCTCTGGGTTAGACTAGAATGCTATGTTTTATTTTATTGTGATTATATGAAAAATAAGAGTAATGGTTCTTCCTCTGTTTTTAGGACTGTGACAATCTGTGGTGGGATGCGTTCACCACAGAGTTCTTCGAGGATGACGCCATGCTCACCATCACTTTCTGTCTGGAAGATGGACCCAAACGATACAGTAAGAATAAAGACTACATGCTAATCATTGTTTTACTTTCAGCTTCTAATTGCAAATCTTAAGAAATTGACCTTCATCATTTAAAGTATAAACTGTATGTGATGTCCATATCATGAGAATGTTTTATTTATGATTGGCACATAACTGTTTGTAGCATAATGTATATCCTATTCTTAATGATGTTTTTATGTCTGTATGATTTTGTGCTGCTGTATCCCCCGGTGTAAGGCCTATTTTTATGTATTAATTGTATTAGTTTTATTTACGAAGCTATCATTTGTGTGTGCAGCCATCGGCCGGACATTGATTCCACGATATTTCCGGAGTATTTTCGAGGGGGGCGCCACTGAGCTGTTCTACGTTTTGAAGCACCCAAAGGAGTCCTTCCACAGTAACTTTGTGTCTCTCGACTGTGACCAGTGCACCATGGTGACCCAGAACGGCAAACCCATGTTCACACAGGTACACTGGATACAAAATGTACAGCCTTTTATTAGCTTCCGGTTGCTGTGACTTCTAACTTATTATATTCCTCCTCTGGGGATAAGGTTTGTGTGGAGGGCCGCCTGTACCTAGAGTTCATGTTCGATGACATGATGAGGATCAAGACGTGGCACTTCAGCATCAGACAACACAGAGAGGTCCTCCCAAGGAGTATTTTGGCCATGCATGTGAGTTCCAGACGCAAATAACCACACACTGACACTGAAATACACGTCCTGTACATGCACTTATTCATCTCATCTCTCTCATAGGATCCCCAAATGCTCGATCAGCTGGCTAAAAATATCACCAGATGTGGGCTGTCCAACTCCACGCTCAACTACCTCCGTGTAAGCATGTTACTTTATGATAATCTTCTTTTATCGATCGGTCGTTTGAATAAATCTTTACCTACAACAACCTGTTAACACTCATTTGATTCTGTTTGGTTTCTTTCTTTCTTTTTCATAAAGCTATGTGTGATATTGGAGCCCATGCAAGAGTTGATGTCGAGGCATAAGACGTATAGCTTGAGCCCCAGAGACTGCCTGAAGACCTGCCTCTTCCAAAAGTGGCAAAGAATGGTCGCACCTCCAGGTAATGCACACACCTTTCAGATTGTCAGTGTCAATTATGGCATTGTTTAACCTTCAATTATTAAACGGAGGAGTTCGAATCCAGTGGAAATTGCATAGCTTTTCATTATCTGCATAGCTTTTCATTATCTGCATAGCTTTTCATTATCTGCATAGCTTTTCATTATCTGCAACATATCTACAGAGACTTTAATAAATATATCATTATAAATCCTATCATCTCCTGTTTCTACATGTAGCTGAGCCCGCCAGACAAGCTCCAAACAAGAGGCGGAAAAGGAAGGTGTCCGGTGGAAGCACCGTGAGCACCGGCGGAGGCAACAATAACAACAGCAACAGCAAAAAGAAGAGTCCAGCCAACAGCTTTTCACTCTCCAGCCAGGTACCTGTAAGCATTACATCTACTTGACCTCTTTCTGCGCCTCTTAAATTCAGCTGAGCAAGGCATTGGAGTAAATATCAGAGGGTGGATGGGTTTGGAAAAAACGGCAAGGCGGTTAGAAAATCATTTTTGGGTATAGGGGGTGTTAGCTAGGGTTGTTGGTGTGTTAGGAAGTAGGTGTAGCAGCAGGATCGAGATAGGAAGGGGATGCTTATGGATTAGGGATGAAGGTGTGGTAGGTGTAAATGGGGTTGCTTTCTCTAATTCTGAGGATGTGTAGATTTAGTCAGTAGACCCCCTAATGTGAACCATTGATGGGCAGTCCCTGGTCCCCTGGGGGCCACAGGTCTATGGGTTTATATAGTGGATGTACACATGAGCCCCTTTACTAAGTAATGCTTAAAATAATTGTGGTAATGTTGCCTTGCTCTGAATTCCAGTGGGGCAGTTTTTTCCGCTGTATCAACTTGGTTATAGAGTTACTGCTCAATCTATCAGAGCACGTGATTCACTCAGCACTGCTGTCTTTGCCCACTTGGTTGCTTGAGAGCCAATGAGACCCGAGGTGGAATGAAACCCCCTGATGCTGCACTCAAGGATCAGGGATGCCCACTGCTGGCCAGTAGGGAGGGCCCCATGACTCTGGTTCTCGGAACAAGGATAGGGAGTCAGGGCCACATGGACTTCTGAACTGTCAGGGTAGACGCCCTGACAAAGATTGTAGATTGAGAGGACACTATTATCTCAGGGTTAAATACTCCCTTGGTCCCTTAAAGTATGAACTTCTTATTAGTGAAAACTAATTTCTAACGTTGGAATCAAACACAGTCAGACAACCCGTCCGTGCAGCCAATCATTCCGCGCAGCCCCCTGTATTATGGGGATAATATGTATCGGCCCTTGCTGTCCCCTTTAGGACGTGATGATGGTGGGAGAGCCCACTCTGATGGGAGGGGAGTTTGGTGACGAGGACGAGCGTCTGATCACGCGCCTGGAGAACTCGCAGTTCGATGTGGCGAATGGCCTGGAGGATGAGGACAGTTTCAACAGCTCTCCTGCACTGGGGGCACACTCACCCTGGAACAACAAGGCCCCCTCCAGTCAGGAGAGCAAGAATGACAACTCCCAGTCGTCCCAGTAGAGTGCCGAGGTCTCAGTCAGACCCTTTTTTTCAATGCTTAAATCCTACTGGGATCCATCTGAGCCAACACACTAGTGACAGGAGTCAGGGAGGGCGGCCTCGAGCACTTGTGTTCAACATTTTTTTGTTTGTTTTTGTTCCATCATGTTCTTTTAAAAACAAACAGAGATTGATAGGGAATGGACAATAGCTGATGGACTGATAAAACTCGTACTGTCACATGAAGGACAGGGTCAGCAGAAGCCCACCCCTCCCTCACGTAGCATGATCACATGATCAGTGGTGCTCAGCCTTGGCCCTCGTCTGCTCGGCTCCACTCAGTCCTCTCAGAGGTGTGGTGAGACTGGCGGGGGTGGCGGCGTGGGCGCATGTGTCTTTACCCCCCCCTCATCGCTCACCACAGTGTTTGAGCCAAAGTTGGCGTGTCCTGTTGTTCGAGTGCTCGCCATGGCGACCGTGTCAGTGGGTTCTTGTTCCAACCTCGGGTCTCTCAGGCGTGCGTTCTCCTTGACGATGCACCCCGTTGTTTCTGTTGTGCTCATGTCACAGGGAAGAAATGCTTAGCTTTAATTTAACTTTTTGTTGCAGGCTGCAGAAAACTGTGTGCACTCTTAGTATCAAAATTGAACTTCAGTTTTTAAAAACTCAATTATTTGTTTTTGTAGGACCTGGTTGGAACAAAAACCTGTACAGTGCCGGAGCTTGAGGACCGGAGTTGAGAACCACTACGCTAAATCTTAAACATCCACAAACTGACACACATGCATCCAGACCTGTTCATACTCCAACACACACACAAACACACATTTACACTCACCTACACCTGCAGCATAAAACAATGAGGTACTGGAGAGAGGTGGTACGCAGCATGTCTGGACCAGAGCACCAGATGCTACAGAAGTGTGTTTTCATTTTCTATGTTTTTGACTTGTTTTGAATTGTTTTTATTTTTGTAAACAATTTCGAAAAAATAAACATACAAGCAAGCAAACAAAAACACCCCTAGAATATTCTTTGCACTGTTTTCCACTATTGACTCCAGTCTATTTTTCTTATGAATTGACCGTGTATTTCCTTTCCTTTTCTATTATTGCTAATGTAAGAACTGTAAAACATCTGAAACCTGCAGTATATTAATGTAAACGTATTGCTGTTAGATCATTCTTATTGTAATGGTAATAACTTCCATGTAGGTCTGTGCTAAATATAATGTCACCTATCTGTCGGCCATCACACTGTCATCAGGTCCTTTGGCTTCAGTGCTAGAAAACAGGTTTGGGCGAGAGAGCAAAGCCAGTGTTTGAATACTGGACCACATCTTGTCTGATGTGAGTCCAAAGCAACACACTGAAGACAACTCCCCCTCAAAATGTCCCTCCAGCCCCCGGGTTGGATCTGTTGACATGTCATTGCAGAACTGTTTGCTTCGTCTTGAAATCTGGAGGTCCTCTCTTCAGAACACACAGTAACAAGAAACTTCTCAAATTTGCTACTCAAAAATATTTTAAAAATCAAATTTTGACAAGATTGTAAAAAAAAAGGAAAAAAAGACTTTTGTATTAACTTAAGTTTCCCAGAAATGTTTTTAATTACAACTAAGAAAGCTGCACACCAAGGAGCTACATGTAAAGATTCTTTAGATATTGATTACACTACTGTTTTATGACGAATCATTTTGTTGGCTTTACTCCTCATGTTTGTGTCTGTGCTTGTATATTTTAGTAATTTCTGTAAAAGTTATCTGCGTATTCCTCCCTAGAATTATCACAAACTCAATCTAATGTAAAGAGATAAAAACCCTCTTGAAAGCTTTTTTAATGGTACAATCACTGATAAAATAATTTTGCCCTCATTTTAGGAAACTGTATTTATTCTTCTATGTACTGACATTCTGTTTAGGTCCAACCCGCCTGTACTATACCCATGATGAAATATGGAGGAGTCTCTTGGGCCGAGTCAGTAAATGCTAATACAGGTCATTCCCTTACTTGTTTTTTTCATATGCGGCTCCCAGTTTATCACAGTGCTTCAGTATGTTCACATTGAAGAGATATTTAATGGCCAATTTCTGCTGTCGTAGGTACCTGGTCTATCTGAAAATGTATTGGATGCACTGAAAACCAATAAATAACCACATTTAGAGAAAATCCTAACCGCCAAGTCATCCTTTTTTCCCTGAAGTTGCAATATGTAATGGTGCGTCATCCTCTTTAAAGCTTTGAGCTCTTCAGATGTTGAAAATATTCCACAATGGTGCAACCTTTAGTGAAATATTGATCAAAATTCCCTTAACCTCGATGATGTGGCTTTTTGTTTGTAATGAATTAGTTGGCTGTTTCCAGATCCATTTCAGATAACTCATACATGACAAATGCATATTCAATTTGACTTCATGGAAATATGCTGACCATTGACATGACCTCTTATCCTGGGGGGAGGAAGACTCACCCAGCTTGACCTCAAGCTGCTGTGTCAGGGTTTCCTGTTTACGTAAATATGATGTAAAATATGGGCTTCAGCTTCGCCCAGCTGACAGTGGATAGTAGTTTCCAGACTCGCCCAGCAGGTGTCTCCCTAAGCAAGAAGAGCACAGTGAGCAGCCGGTCAGAAAGTGCTCCATCACTGTATCTGGCACCAATGCTATAAATCATCACTGAGCTGCAGGCTGTGTGACTAAGACCCTACTCATTGTCTCTAGCACCCCTAGTTTACTTTGTGGTTACTACTCAGCAGGCCAACACAGAATTGATCTAGGAGGTGGACATTTTTACAGCCTGTGTTTCCTAAGTTGACATCCTTCAGAGAATAAGGGTTTGTGATATTTGGGACAGAGTTGATATGGCAATTGATTCCCCAATAGCTGGCTCCTGTAGCACCTCACCATAGGGGTGATTTTATATCTATATTTTTTGCCAGGTTTCTGTCATTGATAATTCATGTATGGTATTAATAAAGATGAATTTTCACTGAAAAAGTATTGTGTTATTACATTCAACTCTTGTGATTCTTCTCTTATTACATATTTATATACTTGTTACTGTAATGAGAAAACTTTCTATCATGTGAAACTGATCCTAGCCGGGTAAATCCCACAAAAACAAACCTTAAAGAAATAAAAATAGATAACTGGGAAACAAGTAAGCTTTGTTATATTTCACCTATGCAAATTTGATCTATCTAGCCACAAAACATATTTCAAGAGAACTTGACAAAAACACTGGCCAGAACAGTTCACAAACTTTTTTATTGAAACAAAGTGTCAGCAAGACAATAGAGATCTTCTTTCTTCATTAATAAACACAACATTGTCAAGGACACAATTTACAATGTGACTCATTGGGAGTTTTTTTTAATTTTTATTATTCATTATTTCTTGGCAGCCCACAACTAATGTGGAAAATGACTGCTTGTTGGTAACAGGAAGGACAACCTATGACAGGAATTGCGATATCTAATTTCATTTAATCAAAATGTAAATATGCCGGATTTTAGCTTTGAGTTCATTTCCATCCGTTGTCCCTCACATACAACATTTAAGAACATGACATTTATATACATAGCAAAAATAAATACATGATATGCAGAAAGAGCATGAGCAGCATACAAGTATTAACCACATGGCAGTGCAATATAGCAGCTACGACATATAATAGATCCTGACAAAGCAGAACTGATGTCTGTTTTCTCTGTCTGGTGTGTGATGTAAACAAAAAGCAAGTTATTGTACAACAGAAAAGGCAAGTGCGCAGCATAGTGTGGAAACTTCTTAAAGTTAATTTATGTACTAAAGGACATGTTGTAAAATATTAAATATCAAGCACATGGACAGTTCAGATGTGTGTACTTTGTAATCCAACAAAATCTACAAAGTGGTTCCGGTAGTTGAGCATGGGAACTCGGCCTTGGGACCTTTATGTGTGTTAAAATTATCTCAAATTGAATTACACTAATGAACTTTTTACCACACTGTGAAGATACATTTAATGAATGGTCACAGTACAAGGATGTACCAACTAAGTCTGTGGTAATGGCTGTCAAGAAAGTCAGTCAGAATCTTGAATACAAAATCAGGAATATGTTCACAGGTGAGAAGTCAGTGAGGGATCATGCACTAATCTCAACGACAGCAGACCAGCCAGAAAGTCTGGTGCTGTTTCAGGAACACAGGATTATTGAGGGCTATCAATGAGTGGCGCCAAACCACAAGGCCTTCACATGTCAAAGCCACTGGTACGAGCTGATTAAAGGATGAGCCTGTAATTGATGGGTTGAGGTGAACCAGGGTTGAATGATCAGCAAGTGACTGTGCACCTGATATCGGAAACAACAAACCAGGAACGACACTTGTATCACCGCTTCAGAGGCTTGATTGATGAATCAGTCTCATGACCTTTGTACACTTGTGTTCCTTTTAATATGTAAATGTATTCGTTTGTGATCCGAGGACTCATACGGAACAGGCAGTGTCACGATACGGAACAGATTGTGGACCAAGTTAACATACTAGACTCCATAATGAAAGAACAGGAAAAGTTGATTTTATTTCTTCACTGTCATCAAAGCAGGATATTGGTAAGTGACTCTCCTGAATGTAGTTTAAAACAAGCTTTACTTAAATCTGTAAAGAGTCATGCTTTCTGTCTTGTTTTGTATTCTTTAGCTGCAGTTATACTGTTCATCTTCCCTTTTTACAATTGGGAAACTAAATTCCTTACATTTTTTTTTGGCAACATTAAGATGTTGTGCTCTTAAAAACGTACCTCCCCAAGCATATCCTTCCCAGCTATGTTGACCTAGATGTTTGAGCTTTGTTGTTGCTTGTTGGGACACCACACAATTGCAGATGTGGGCTTTGAAAGATAGTGTTATCAGAACTTGTATCCGGCAAAGACAATAATATCCTCGCAAAATTGTTACAAACACATTAGGCAACCCTGTATTTCCCCCCTGACATAGAAATACCATTTGTTTGTGAGTATCTTTCAATTATTTTGTTCCCACAACTCTCTCCTTTCCCACGTCACTCCCTCCCTCCCTGTGTCTCCTTTTTAAGACCCTCCCTTTCGCCTCTCTCCCTCCCTCAGTGTTCTCCAGGCAAACACACAGTGAGGTTCAACTTTACAGCAACAGCAGAGCATATCAGGTTTCCACGCACTCCCCTCAGTGAATTACTGGAGATCAGAGCAGCACGACTGTCCTTCACGGTCTGACCAAGCAAGGTGAGTTCATCTTAGAGAAAATAGCAAAAATTCTCACTTTCCTCCTGCGTCTACATTTTGTTTTCATGTACTTTTCTATTCCTTCTGTATCTGTCCTCTTTTCACTCTGAACACACCTTTTCAACCTCTCCCACACTCTCATCTAAGTGCCTAGACCAGGACGCATTGCTCTGACAGTTTGTTTACAAAGCTCCTATATGTACAGAAGGTACATGTTAAATATCATGGTTGTTATTCTTTCTTCTTTTAAACAACAAGAAGACAGTTTTAAGAAGAAGAAGTGTACTCTATATGTTCCCCTTGTGGAGTTATTTGCTTAAGAGAACAAAAAGCATACGGTTGATAAGTGTTGATTGATATTCAAACATTGAGCAGTCGTTTTGTGAAGATAAAAAACGTCTAAACACCTGACAACACCATTACTGTCAGCTGTTATGAGAGTCAAGCCCAGGTTTAGGTAAACAGAGGTGATGCAGGTACCTGAGGCGGATGCGGGTTTTGTGTGATTACGCTATGAACACAGTGCTGGCACCACGGTCATACATGCATTTAATAATCCTTCATGGAACAAGACTTTTCTCTGTCATTTTTTTTTCGGTCACTCGATGACCCACTCCAAAGTATCTGCTAGATTATAGAAGTATGAAATAGAAGCTTAAAGGTCACTGTTTTTCTGAAAAATGAAATAGTGTAGGTGTTGGCTTAGCATTTATATTTCCCATTAACTAAATGCCATTGTTCTTCTGCAGAAACAGTTTTAACAGCTCTTCTGGTGCAACAAACTTCGCTGCAATCTCTTTCTGTGTGACTCAGTCTGTGGGTTTCTTCTCAATCTGTAATTCTCCTGCCTTGTTTGAGTGTTTCATTGTATTCAGTTCATTTGTTCTACTTGCAGACGCATCAAGACAGAGCTTGTGCCATGAGGTGATTACTTTTTCTGTCTGGACAAGTCTTTTCACACCCGTCCCACCTGTAGAAATGGGGTTACATGAGAGTGTGAGCCCTTGGAGGTGGCAGGGCAGTGGTGGTGCGTTCAGGGCCGCAGTTGGAGTGTTGCTGCTGGGGCTCAGCCTGGCCCAGTCCGTCCCCCCACACGCTGCCTGTCCGGCTGCTGCGGCCCCCCAGAGCGTCCCCCAGCCCCAGTACCAGGACACGGAGAAGGACGTCATGGGCTTCTTGTCAGGTTTTGTCCATTCCTTCCTCCAAACAGTCCAACCGAACGCCCTTCCTGAAGGTCAGTGTCATTGGTATTACTCACCACTCAAACATCTTGAATCTCTAACTTCAGTTTACACAAGGTTTTATTTAAGTCACATTGATATCTTTCCACACGCGGTTCTCTTTCCCTTCAGAGTCAGAGGTGACAAATCAGTTTGAACTCACTAAAGCTAATACTGCCAATAGAGAAAGATGTCAGGATCGGTTAATCAGTAATTTTATGGAGTTTCTGTTCCTTGCCAGGTCAATCTTTTACCTGTATTTCCCGCTCTGATGTTTATTCAGGCCAGTGTTTCCCCTTAATCAGACTTGTGTCGCACCTGTAGTCCTTCGTCTGGCTATGACATGTCGTAATTGCTCCAAAAACCCCTTCTCTATTACTTCCTGCTTGGTATTGATATTCACAGAAAAACCAATGGACACAAAAGATGTTTAACAACCTTTGCCTAGTATCATTGTTTTGGAAATAGATTGTGTGAGTGTATCTCAACCAATAGCCTCGCAATGAGGCATGAAGAGACTTTATCTCACTGAAGAACTGTCCATGGGAACCGCTAGGTATCAACAGCTGCTTAAACTAAACACAGTGTCTGCCATCGCTCTGCGAAAAGGTAAATGGCACGATGGCTTAGTGTAAACTCTGGGTTTCTGCTTGACTATAAGCCCCCAGGCTCATAAATGTGGGCAAAGAAATTATAAATGTTTCCCTCTGCTGCCTTTTTCATTTCAAAGTGAACACAACAGGTGTAAAAAAGGTGAAATGCAAGTTTCTAGGACATTTATGCCAGACTGTAAAATGCTGTGACACAGACGGAGGGTGAGAGCTTCAGAAATAGCTGGCGTGAACAACACGTTTTCTCAGTTACATACGTCTGAGTTTTGTGAATAATATCCAGAATAACTGGGTTCAGTGGGACCTAAATCAAAAGCTTTGTTTTGTGATTCTTTGGTTTTTCATACAAATCTAATCTCTTCTGTAAACGGTCCTATTGTCATAGAAACCACAAGATGGAGGTGTCAGATTTCCATTTTACAATGCAAGAGCTTACAAATGTTTGTATGGAGCACGGGACACATTGTCCCGATGGCCAGGCTTTTGTACATAAGTAACTAAGACAGAAACTAGCGCAGTTGGATAGCTATTTGCTATTATAACACTACAAAAAAAGTTGTTTTCTTTCTGACTTGTTTCAGATCTGATCATGAACATAGTACAAGATCCTGACCAACTGCTGCAGTCAATAGAAGGAAACCTCAGAGAAGTAAGTGAATGTGAATGAGTTTTACATATTCCAAGATGTTGTTGTGTACTTCTCTGGGAAGAAGAAAAGAAAAACTCCCACCTTGGAGCAACTTGAGCTTGTAATCGGAGAATGTTTAATGTTAAAGCAGCTTTATGTTTGTGTATCTTTCCCAGTCAACTGATACACTGAGACTCTTTCATATACTCTAATTGTAGACTGTCACCATAGTAAAGTAAAACTACTGTCCGGCCTGGTGATGTCTCACAGTGTTTGACGTCACACCCTATCTCAAGAATATACCATTGTTCTGCCTTAATAGGACATTCTTGTGACACAATAATGCAATTTGTTCTGTATGTGTGTCTAGTTCCTGGTGTATGATGTGGGTTTCCTGGTGTGCACAGCCATTGGTGTCCTATACATCGTTCTGATGCCCATAGTTGGGTTCTTGTTGGCATGCTGTCGCTGCTGTGGAAACTGTGGTGGGAAGATGTACCAGAAGCAGACATCCTCCACTAACTGTCACAGGAGAAGTCTCTACTGGACTGCATTCGGCACCACAGCCATTATCCTGTGAGTGTTTGTGCTCTCATGTGTGTTTTGGAACACTATAATGATGTGTTCTCGGAAATGAGCAACAAATAAAGACAGCTTGAATGTGCATGCCTCACTGCCTGCAGGGGCGCCGCCAGGGATTTTGGGCCCCATGAAAAGATATCACATTGGGCCCCACCACTAGGCCCAGGCCACGCCAACCAAGCACAATGCTGTGACCACACCTCCAGAACCCAACCGACTCATTTATGGTTTAAATAACTCTACCTGTACAGGCTTGCATCTGTCTTGTAGTCCAATACTAACTGCACAACATTTACTGACACTGAGCGGTGAACATATAACACTCTGCAGACATGCAAGATTCTGCTGCAGTATAATTCACTATTTGTTATAACACTAACATTCCTGACAATAGACCTCAATAGTCATCTTTTATGGTGTACATGCCTTTTTAATAACATTTTTGAATGGAACATTCAAAAATCTAAATAAATATAACTTAAATATACATGACCTCTTAAATTAAAATAAAGTGAACATTAACACCAATATTATCATTTATAAAA